TAACGTAATAAAATACGCGAATTTCAATCAAATATACGAACAAAAAATTTACTTGTATTAACAATATACATATATACATATATATATACACACGTAGGCCATATTCCAAAGTAGTATCTCGTTCATTTAAAATGCACGATGCGAATTCAACGTTCCTTCCCCTCCACCATTTTAATTCTCGTGCACGCGTTGCATCGTGCCATAGTCCACGTAATATTAAATTTTGATTTCGTACGAGTACTTACGTCTACCGAAGGATGTTTCTCCCGAACGTTTCAAGGCCGTCTTTGCGCGCGCATGTTTTAAAACCTCTCTTCTTCTCATCATATCCTCCTCCTCCCCCTCCTCCTCCTCCTCCTCCTCCACCATCACCGATCGGAAATTGGAAAGTTACCTATCGCCGAGACACGTTTTCTTTTTACAAAAAAAAAAACAAAAGAAAAGGAAAAAGAAAAAGGTTGCGAGAAAGCATAATAACAAAAAAAAAAGAAAAAACCACCACCTAAATCATCCTTCCGCGTGTCTGCACGATCGGCGGAACCGTTAAGAAAGAATAAGACTCGTCTCGTAGTCGTTTGAAAGAAAGAAATAAAGAAAAGTATCTGTGTCTGTCTGTCTATCTGTCTGTGTGTCTGTGTAAGGGGATAATTTTGAGAAAAATTATCTCGGCAAATGAGAATTATCTTACACACTCAGTGAACAACATCAAACAAGCAAGCAAGCAAGCAAGTAACGTTGTAATATAATTATGATTTCTCGTTACGCCAAATAAAAATTACCGTACGATGGTAAATGGTAAAGGGGAGATCAAAAGAGGGTTGGAGGGGGAGAGGGGAGTGAGTTTGCATGCGTGTGCAAGTGTGTGTTTGAGTTTACCACACTTTTCGAATCATATTCTCGCGATTTTCTTTTCGATCACGAATCTTTTTCGATATAACAGCGTTCGAGGTGAAACTGAGTAAAAGAAAAAATTAAATTAACAAAGAAAGAAAACAAAAACAACAACAACAACGAGAAGAAGAAAAAGAAGAGAATGCAAGTAGCGTCGTCCTCTTAGTCGTCCTTAGTCGTAGCCGATCGACAAACACCGTTGGAGCAAGCGTTGAAAAGGCGAGGCCCCTCATCAAGGGTCGTAACTCGTGAAATAATGCGACGAGGAATTCGCGGGGACGTAATTCGACGAGCAACGGTGATTCCGAAACTGCCGGATGATCATAAGACGGGACCGATCGAAATCTACCATTTAGGTCGCTTACTATCGACCAAAAATGACCAACCAACCGACCACCACCCTCCCCTCTTCGATTTCGAATAGCGTATATGAGATGATTTCTTCCATTTTTTTTCTTACCCCCCTCCAGCCCCCCACCCCAAATCGCTCAGGACGCCCGGAAGCTCCACTTGAATTTCGCAGCATTCTCCTGGGGCCCCATATTCCTTCTTTAATATTTCCCGTACTTAATTCGATGATTATATTTCCGAGATGAAAGAATGAGAAATAATTCGATCGTATGTGATCACGAATTTTAAACAACAAAAATCAAATAGTTTCTTTTTTAACGATCTTACATATGTTATTGTGTACAAAAAAATTTGTTTTAATAATTAATTATTCATGTGTATTTAGAGTTTTATTCAGAATTTTATACATTGCAACGTTATCGTTTGATTTCAGGTTTAATCGTAATACAAGTGATCATGACGTCGGCTAACGGTGCACCATTGAAATCAAGACGACAGGATTCCCCACCTATGTGGGTGAATCCTTGCGGACTTGCGGCAGAAGATTTCAACAGTGATCCGGAAATCGAACAATTGAAGGATTTCGATCTCGTATCGCAGATTATTGTACAATTGCAAACAGCATTGTCGCACACCTCGCTGTTTCGTGAAGATTTCGTAAGTATTGTATTATATATATACAAGTAGCTCTCCTAAAACACGGTTTTGATCTAACACGATTCATAAATTCAAACAATTCTCTTATATATTTTGTTATAACGCGATAAAAATTAACATCAATTCAAAAAATGTATTTTACAAACCATTGCAGAATTGCAACAGGATTTGATTTTTGTTTGAACATATTTACAAAATTAAATTACCTTCAAAAATAATGAATTCTGTGTCTAATATAGCACAGCATTTTTGAGGTTATACTTCTTTTGGCGCGTTTTGAAAAGTGAGGTTAGATACGACCGAAAAATCAACACCACGAAGTTGTTCGATATTTTCAGGTTATTGAGGTTATATTCGTTTTGGTACTGTAAAGAAGTATAACTTCTTACGTGTTTACATAAATACACATATCAGTTTTTTTTATTTTTGTAGATACTTTTATCTACCGTGTTATAGGAATGGTTTACTTGTATTATTGTTTTGATTATTTATTCGCATAAGATCTCGAACGTTAGGAAGAACGAAAATTTGTTCTCCTCCTTGTGAACGGTTAGTCCCAAAAAGTAAAGGCCCCCGACGGAAGATCAAACTCATCGATGGTTCGATAATTACCACCGTGACTTCTGCTTGTGGGATCGGGCATGAGCGGGGATAAGGGGGAACACCGAGCGGAAGGCAGTTATGGCAGTACTTCCGGCGGTACGGACGACGTCGATCGTTGGTTCTACGTGTCGTTGGCAAACACACGAAAGAGATCTCTCTACTTTTACTTATCGGAATCTATCAATGTTTTTCTGCTCTTCCGATTCTTGTCATTTCATTTCATCTTTTACCGATAATCTTTTCCTTTTCTTTAGAATCGAATTATTCATCATTCTCGTGCCAACTCGGATCGTTTTACTTTCCCATATTTTATCGTAACACTTCTCGATAATAATATTGTTTAATAGAAATTGAACAAGGTCAACCGATTTAGTGTTTTTTATTTTATATTACGGGATAAATTAATTAACGTAAAATTTACAAAATAAGTGTCAGATAAATAAACAATGGTCAGCAAAATATTTAGATAATATTTGAATTTGTATGATACGAATGCTGAGAAGCAAGAAAAATTGATAGATTACATTAATTAACAATTATTTTTACAATAATTAATGAGATACAAAATTTCATCTTAAATTAAATAAGTATTTTATTATTTGATATTATTTTCATTATAACCTGACGCAAACGAACGAACGAACAAAATAATAGGAAGAATTAGGAGAAGGCCTATCGAATAACAAATAGGAAGAATCCTTCCCAAAAAACGTGATTCATTATCTATCCAAACAACATACCTCGTTCCTTAAGCTTTCTCCACCTCCTCTTCATCTTCTTTCACAAAGTAAATCTGAAAAACAAGGATAGGCGTATTTTCGGGTAAACCGCAAAGTCACAACGAAACTGCGGTCAAACGTGAAACTATACTCTCTCTCTCTCTCTCTCTCTTCACCTTTTCATCATACATTAGCCTCGGTTCCCTCGATTTATGCATCATGAACACGCGTCCTCACGATTCCGGGTCTGTAACTGGACGTCCTTACGCTGTCCGACCCAATTCTCGGAGCCCTCGAGTTCGAAATCGATCTTATTTTTCGACACCTTCGCTTCCTGCTTCGAGAATTATATTCTTTTCCAAAAAATACACAGCTTCTTACGTAACTTTTTGATTTAAAAAACATTCACGATTATTATTATTAGTAGTTTCTCTCAAAAAGATATTCCAACGTGTCCAAATTTTAACAAGGAGAAACAGTTAACTTGACCCTTTGAATGTTACGAGCGCATATATGCGTCTAACAAAAACAATCCGTGTGTACTGAGAACACATATATGAGCTTATCAATTTTTTCCTCTACCTCTAACCCACCTTGATTCTAAATTCTTTTCTTTCTCATCAAAATAATTAAACATTAGCGAAAAAATCATTCAGTTTCTCCAACGATTGCAATTGTTAGGAGCTCTTCAAATGGCTTAAGAATAAGACAAAAAATTTAGTTGATTATTATCGCGGAATACCAAGAAAGTCGGATGATCTCAAGATGATCAGGTGTATGAAGAGAACAAGAAAAAAAAAAAGTAAGAACAGAGTGGGCAGGGGTATGCGAAAAAAAGTCAGCGCATTTCATGCACGACCACAAAGGGCGCTTACGCGAAGGCCTTGGTTCCGGCTGTGTGATTATGGCATGGGGAAAGGGTTGGTGGGGGATTCGAGGGGGTTTGAGGGTGGCAGGAGGGGGAGGGGAGGGGAGGATCAACAGCGGCGGTTCGAAACGCGTCGAAAGAGCCGCGTTACATCATCGGTACGACCGATACACGACACCGTTGTTTTCTAAGTCAGCGCATAATTCGATATCGAATTCGTTTCTGACTTTAGCAGAGAGGTTAGAAGTAGAAGAGAAGATTCAATTCGCCTAACCTTTCATTCTTTATTTCTACGTGGTGACTACTTCACGGGTGTAGGAAGACGCAGGTGCGGCTTTGACTGATAACGAGTTGCAGGCGACATACTGTCTGGTGGTCCACTGACGTCATCATTGCCAACTCGTCTTATCGTTTTTTCTTTTCTTGTTTTCTTTTTTTTTTTGAACAGAAGAGTAAGCGAGAAATAGATCTCGATTATTACGACGTAACACGATGATTGGAGAAATGCTAATGCGAATTAATTATGATGAATTATAAATAAATGAAACCCTTTTTATATCTGTCGTTTAGTCATCTGTCACGTGACAACGGTACTTTGGCGGGTACGGTCTGTAGAGTCACGTGATTGATAACATAACCTTTTAATATATCAAAACTCGCGCTATTTTCCGAAATTTATGCAGAATTTCTTTATCAATTATGCATTCGTAACAGTGTAATTGACATATCCAGTTGTATAGCATTGTTTTTTCTAATCAATTTTATATCGAGACACAAAGTGAATAAAATAATTAAACAACTTACAATTTAATGAGAATCACGCGAAAACAGTTGACCACCGATAAGGKTTTAAAGAAAAAAAAAATAGAAAATTATTCTATAAGATGCTAATCGAATTGAAAATGTATTGATTATAATACGGTTATGTAAAAAATGATCGAATTATCTATAAAAAAAAAATTCGTTATAATATAGAGAAAAGATCGATCGATAAAGAGATAGAAAAACAAAAGGAAAGGAAAGAAAGGGATTTAAGGACGTGAAGGTATCGGATAAAATATCGGAAGTGGAGGATTCCAATAAATCAGAATCGGAAGCTGGCTGCCCCCTCCTCCTCTCCCATACCGCGGACGGGACACAGCCATACGCCACAGTAATACACCGCCTGCATACTAAAGACAAGACCGGATATACAACGCGCCAGCGTATTCTACTACTTTCCTCGATATATACACCACGACATATATACCCCATAGCAGCAAGGTGCCTGCTGTTGCTGTTGCTGCTGCTGCTGCGTTTCTTGCATATCGACTCGTAGTCGTCGTCATTGTCGTCGTGTAAGGTTCCCTCCCGCTGACATATTTTCTCTTTGCGCGTGACTTTCCTTTCGTCTCGTCACACAACCACCACCTACTCATTCTATTATTCCCTCTCTTTCTATCTCACACACAAATGTGCACGTAGATTATTTCTTCCTCTTCATTCATTCTCGAAATAGGTCCAACAAATCTCGATCGGTGAGATTTTGTCTTCCTTTTTTCTTTTATTTTTTCGGTCAAAAATATTTGCCGAAATTTTTACAACTCGTAATAACCGAGTGGTAACGGATGCTTGAAAAAAAAAAAAAAGTAAAAGAGCAAATGAGAACGATCTAGAAGGTTAATTGATTTTGACGGGTTCCATCTATCTATCTTTTTCTTTCACTTATACTTAGACGAGTGGAACGCCTTATAGATCTCGATGAGGAAGAAGGGAAGACTGAATGAAAGAGTAAAAGAGATAGATACTGTTCGTTCTTACCTAGTCTAACTTGCCAGCCTACTACCTACTTCCTGTCAGTTTGCAGCCCGGTTTTACGATTATTCGTGCACCGGTGGTTGCCCGTTTCAGAGGAGAGAACTTTTACGAGTCACAAAAGAACCCGCGCGCCACGATTTTGCTCGCCGGCAAGTTGGTTGGTTGGTTGGTTGGTTGTTAGCAGCACCAGCAACAGCAGCAGCGACAATTCCTTTCTTCCTTTCCTTTTTTCTTCCTTCCTTCCTTCCTTCCTTCTCCTCCCTTCTCGTCTACCTTCCTTCCTTATGTTTTCCCTCTTCCCTCTCTCTTTATCTATCTTTTTTTATTTTTTTCTTTCTTTCTTTCTTTCTCTCATTCATGCTAGACTATCCGCGTCTCGTAGGAAAAGAACACTGTGTTCTCTCCGGTCCGGTGTAACAGTCGGCAACAGCAACAACGTCCGTTATAGCAAACTCAGAAATGTATTCGAAACTTAGGCTTATTCTTCCTTTTT